GAATGCGTTTTTGACTCGTGTTCGTCAGTTTTTGACTCGTGTTCACTCGTGTTCGTCATTTTTGACTCGTTTTCACTCGTGTTCGTCAGTTTTTGACTCGTGTTCACTCGTGTTCGTCATTTTTGACTCGTGTTCACTCGTGTTCGTCATTTTTGACTCGTGTTCACTCGTGTTCGTCAGTTTTTGACTCGTGTTCACTCGTGTTGTCTCGTGTTCACTCGTGTTCTGACCCGTGTTCACTCGTGTTGTCTCGTGTTCACTCGTGTTCACTCGTGTTCTGACTCGTGTGGTCTTTTAGAATAGATCGTGTGGTTGCTATTATTTAGTATTAAAGTCTATCCTGATACTCGGACCAAAAGAATTTATTTATTGATGAGATGTGGAATTGCAACGAAATAGTGAGATCTTTTGAGTTCCGAAATATCGCCAACTGTACTATCCAGATTGTTGATCTATATATTAAAGGCCTTATCAAAAAAACTTAAAGCCCGTCAAAAGACTATAAAATTGGCCCTTGGCATTGCTGAACCAACGATCATGGTATATGTCAAAGTATAGCTGTCTGTTGAAAATATACGGTATTAAAATCATACACCAAAGATAAGTCAAACGACAAATTTATATATGTCACTATATTATACATGTCTTTCAATGAGCACTGTTTAGTATACTGTTCACCACCTTTATAAATTTTGTAAACAGCTTTCGTTTTGACATTTGCTTTATATGCATTCTTAATAATACAACTGAGATTTAAATTTTTGCTTTGTGAAATAGAATACCGTTATTTTTTAATGGACAGCTTGCATCGTCTATATCATATCCAGGATTGCTTGTGTGTAAACGCATTATTCACTGTATGACACTATCAAATAAGTATAAGTAGCAAATGATTAATGAATTAGAGCTAGATAAACAGGTGATTCACAATGAAAACTTTAAAAATGTTAGTACTGTAGATATAGAAAACTCGAAAATTTATGTCCGTATGACGGTCTGTGCGCGTCTGACACTGTAAATTTGTGAGTAGACTATAGTATGTTAACACAATATAATGATTAATAGAGACCAAGAAAAAGGCTAAAGTCTTACTATAATTACCGAATACTAATTATGCACTAAATCCAGATAAATCAATGACTGAAATTTCCTCTACGCTTATGGACATTTCTCTGTTCGGCTATTATCAAATGTTTTATACATTTGCTAATATTGGGCCAGTCCTAGACAATACTGTTTCTTTTAAAAATCTTTTAAACAAGACGCGTAGTAACAAGTGAATCGGTGCAAAGCGTATCAACGTTTACAAGAAAGGACGAATGTAATGGCCTATTTCAAAAACATTACAATAAACGTTTGTTATAACCGCGCTCGAGTGTGAAGAGAGCATGCATTGAATATTTAAACAACACGAGACTCGAGCACTGCGAGTAACGATTTGCTTGGTTTCTTGACTTGACTGTAAGTAAGAATGTAAGAATGTTCTTGTAAATTCAAAGCAAAGAAAATAAACAAAAATTAGCAAGTATTTTGAACGTAATAATTCGCAAAATTTATGTTTTTTAACGAATATCCCACTGGAAGCATGTTGACAGATGTTGATGTAATTTGATATTTTCCCCACACCCCCTCTCGGGCGCTAAATTTTTGATGAGGCACGTAACCAGCCGCAGCCAGGGTCTTTCCCAAAGAAAGATCCTGGGTACGAGGTTGAGGAGCCCTAACGATGCCTATGGATGCCTAAGGAGGCCGAAGGAGTGCTAAGGAGCCCTAAGGAGGTCTAAGGAGGCCTAAGGAGGGCTAAGGAGGCCTAAGGAGACCTAAGGAGTGCTAAGGAGGTCTAGGGAGGCTTAAGGAGGGCTATGGAGGCCTACGGAGGAGGGCTAAGGAGGTCTAAGGAGGCCTAAGGAGGGCTAAGGAGTGCTAAGGAGCCCTAAGGAGGTCTAAGGAGGCTTAAGGAGGGCTAAGGAGACCTAAGGAGCGCTAAATTTTTGATGAGGCACGTAACCAGCCGCAGCCAGGGTCTTTCCCAAAGAAAGATCCTGGGTACGAGGTTGAGGAGCCCTAACGATGCCTATGGATGCCTAAGGAGGCCGAAGGAGTGCTAAGGAGCCCTAAGGAGGTCTAAGGAGGCCTAAGGAGGGCTAAGGAGGCCTAAGGAGACCTAAGGAGTGCTAAGGAGGTCTAGGGAGGCTTAAGGAGGGCTATGGAGGCCTACGGAGGAGGGCTAAGGAGGTCTAAGGAGGCCTAAGGAGGGCTAAGGAGTGCTAAGGAGCCCTAAGGAGGTCTAAGGAGGCTTAAGGAGGGCTAAGGAGACCTAAGGAGCGCTAAATTTTTGATGAGGCACGTAACCAGCCGCAGCCAGGGTCTTTCCCAAAGAAAGATCCTGGGTACGAGGTTGAGGAGCCCTAACGATGCCTATGGATGCCTAAGGAGGCCGAAGGAGTGCTAAGGAGCCCTAAGGAGGTCTAAGGAGGCCTAAGGAGGGCTAAGGAGGCCTAAGGAGACCTAAGGAGTGCTAAGGAGGTCTAGGGAGGCTTAAGGAGGGCTATGGAGGCCTACGGAGGAGGGCTAAGGAGGTCTAAGGAGGCCTAAGGAGGGCTAAGGAGTGCTAAGGAGCCCTAAAGAGGTCTAAGGAGGCTTAAGGAGGCCTAAGGAGGGCTATGGAGGCCTAAGGCGGAGGGCTAAGGAGGCCTAAGGAGGGATAAGGAGCCCTAATGGGGCCTAAGGAGCCCTAAGGAGGTCTAAGGAGGCCTAAGGAGGTTAAGGAGTGCTAAGGAGCCCTAAGGAGGGCTAAGGAGCCCTAGGGAGGGCTAAGGAGGGCTAGTGATAGTTATTCAGGGCTAGAGTATCTAGAGCATTATGGTACAGTATAGTAAGGGGTCACATAAAGTATATACGAAAGTGACGAAGTATCACGTTAATTACGACCCGAAGTATCATGTTAATTACGACCCGAAGTATCACGTTAATTACGACCCGAAGTATCACGATAATTACGACCCGAAGTATCACGTTAATTACGAGCCGAAGTATCACGTTAATTACGACCCGAAGTATCACGATAATTACGAGCCGAAGTATCACGTTAATTACGACCCGAAGTATCACGTTAATTACGAAACATTTTGAATTACGATGTAAAGACGTACGTTACGGGCAATGAAACTTTACGACTGAATTTGATTTACGGCCCAATCAACTTGCCACACGATCAAGAGTTATTTTTTATAGTGATAACCCCTCATAATCAACTGTTGTTACTTTAATATTTTGATTGACATGTTTTCAACAACAAACAACGATGGGCCATTTATTCTCAACAAATAACAATTCTAGGTTTGATTTATATTTTGCGGGCAAATATTTATTACTTTGAGACTGATTTCTGCGAGGATTTCTGTTCGTTATTAGTAGCTATCGTCAGCCAAGTCAGAAAATTAAAAGGGCACGTTTTACGCAATAATTATTGCAGTAATACTTTCACGCCCCCCGGTATTTTTTTCGAATTTTAACAAATTAAGAATTTTTAGTGTTCCGGTGTTCCGTGTTCCGGAATGATGCTGTTCCGGTGTTCCCATTCTCGTACCCAGAGCCCTCCTTACGCGCGGTGCGACGAGGGGCTCTGGCCAAATCCATAACCGGATACCATGAAAACATGGTAAGAAAACAATGTCCGGTGTTAGCACTAGCCAATCAGATGCCACTTCGGAATATGGATTTGGCCAGAGCCCCTCGTCGCACCGCGCGTAAGAAGGGCTCTGGGTACGAGAATGCGGTGTTCCGTGTTCCGTTGTTCCTGGTTTTACTAATAGCCCTTAAAAAGTAACATTAATTAACAAAACGTTACTGTGTAACGGAGTAAACAATTACACAATACAGTACAAGTATAAACTATTATGCAAAGATGAACAGTCAATAGAATGTATATATTTATATTTATAAATAATATTTATAAATAAATAATATAAATGCAATTGCTGTAAAATTTCATAACATTTTGATACAATTAGCATGAATAGGGACAAGAAAGACCACAAAAATGTTTGCAAAGCCACAATTGTAATTATGTCCTATAGTCCTAACCACCCGCCCGCCCGCGTCGTAAACGAAGCTAAGGCCGGACCAGAAACTAAAGATTAACTTGTAGTGGCCTTAAAACAGTATTAAAAAGGAATCACACTCTCACGATTTCAATGACATAATTTTCGACCAGCTAGATGACAAAACTTTTCACACATATTTATAACAAATTATGAACTTTGTATTTGTCTTGTAATATTTGGAATATATATTATATATACATTTACAGTAAGGCCACATAAAATAAATTCCTTGATTCTCATCACCGCCCGACTGTGTTTTCAGAGCCGTGTGAAAAATTTTAATATTTTGTTATACAATATAAATGTACCGCCCGACAAATATTTCAAGACAGTTAAGTTTTTTATATTGGGTTTTTAGTGCCATTTTAAATTGCCAATTTGAAACAAACAGAACCTTGAGGGTTCAGTCAATGTTTGTGGAGAAATATGTTTATTTCGGTTTGTGACACTTCACTTTGGAAATCACAAAAATATTAAATGTTAGGAATTATTTTTTTATTCATTGATATATAAATTATATAAATATAAAATATAAACCTCCCGCCTCTTCGACATTTTCAAAGTGTAGTGATGAGAATCAAGGCATTTATTTTATGGGGCCTTATTATTAGACTTTAACTGGTAATTTAAATTCAATTTATTGTCCCTTGAATAGGATTAACTTTGTTAAACGATGCCTGTCACTCGGCTGTCCCTTTTGTACCACATTTGCATTAAAACGTTTCGCATAAGTAAAAAGACACAATGTAAGATATTGGTCGGCACAGTGTTTGACAAGCTTTATCCGATGTTCATCTTCGAACACTCTTTCGTTGATGTCTTCTTCATGTTCTGCAAACAGGACTTGGTGTATATCAACAAAGTGGTGACAAACACTCATAATCATTGTCTTCTTCAGATTTTTTTGTTACTAATGCTTTTTCCTTCTTTGCATACGTTTCGTTTGAACACAAGCTCAGCATACTCAATGATCTGGAACACAGATTTTGATGGTATTTTCAGACCACCATTGTTCACAAACAGTGTAAAGGCAGATGCAGCTGCAGCACTGTTGTACCGAACACCACAGCAATTCTGATCAGGGTTGGTAGATGGTTGGGAAGTTAGGCTAATGATGCAGTCAGGACATGTAAGCAGCTTTACCAGTTTTGATACAATATATCCTGCGATGTAGAACAATATGTTGGCGGTGAAGTCACTGTGACCTTTCTGATCCAATAGCTCTACCATGGGTTGTTCTTCATCTTCCTCCTCTTCCTCCTCAGCATCCTTGTCCAGTAAGGGGGTTTTGTGCTTCCTCTTATGAAAAAAAGGTATCACAGTCGAGGTGATTGTGGTTAGGTCTGTAAATTCTGTGCAGTTTGCATTTTTCGATGCAGTTACGGCATTTCTCAGTAGCATTTTCCGCAGGGAATATTTCAGCTGTAAAGTGTTGGGGTTGTTGTTCCAGCCACCTTGTGATCTTGTGAGTACTTGTATGTCAGCGCATATTTAAATGGGTTGTTGGTGCTTGATAGCATTTCATGGGCCATTTCAATTGTTGACTTTATGTCTGCTACAAAACCAATTATAAATGTCTTTCGAGGATGTGTTGAAAGAAGTTGGGAAGGAACTGTATCTGTTTTCAAAGATAGTAGGTAATCAGCCGTAGATCTTAAGGTTACAGAACACCTTTGAGTGTTAATTTTGCCTAAAATTTTTTTATTGGTTTCCATGAAAGCATTAGACTAGTTCTACTATCTGACCAAGTTTGAACGGAAAATGTTGAAAACTCGCAGAGTTATTTAATAAAATACATTTCGCTGCAATAGGCTGGATCGATATCGCAAATACCGAATACCGATATACAGCCATCAGAATACCGGTAAATACCGGTATTCCGGTATTTTTAACGTGTTTTTTTTTAAGCCAAACTGAAGTGCTGACCGTCAAGAAAAATCAAGTTTTGACAAAATATTAATGTGGCACATACTGTTATTAGTGCAAATGTCACAAGATTCGCATTATCAAGCTATGTTAACAATTAACAGCGCTAAGCGGCAATTATTAGTAGGCCGTCGATTGGGCGTCGAAGTGTTGAATCATTCAGAAAAATATTCGTTTTGTATATAAAATCAGATAGTGTTTCAGTAAGCTGCTAATAGTTATAAACATAAAAAACGTAATTGCATTTTTAAAACTAACACATAAACAAGTTAGCAAGCATGTAAAAAACTTGAAAAGCCAGAAAAGGTTTTCGCTGCTTCGCAAATGCTAGTACTTCCACCTTCCAAAATCAAAGTTTTCTTTTTTGTGGAAATTTTCCTTTAAAAATTTCGCCATTTTTATATTTCCGATTAAGGCGGGTACTGCTAAACCAAAGCCGCTAGAACTGTAAGAACAAAATCATGCATCTGTGAGTATTAACTTTGCTTTCTAAACGTGATTGTAAGCAACTTTGACTTTGAAAGAGCGTTTCATTTCGGTATTAGGCAGCAAAATACCGAAATGTCGGTATATCGGTATTTTTAAATTGTCAATATTGCCAAACCGGTATCTAAACAAATACCGGTATATCGGATATATCCGGTATATCGATCCAGCCTACGCTGCAATAAGAAAAACATTGAAAATGTAATATTCAAATTCAATTTTCTCCCGAAAAATTTTACGGTAATTACTGATTTTCAAACGAGTTATGCTCCCGCGGGTTTTAACCAATTTTTCTCAAATTTTCACAGGGCATAGCTAAAGGCGTCAGTTTCAAAATCGTGTTCGGCTTTTTTTTAATTTTGAATATTTTAAAAATAAAGAGCAATTTACTAAAACAATTCAGAAATATATTGCAGTCGTCAAAGAAATCGCCATATCAGCGGAATGACGAAATAAACAAAAATTTCCGAACACGATTTTTTAGAACAACTATTTTACTGTATAAAAATTATATTTTCATAAATATAACTTAAAACCAGCAGGAACATAACTCAAAAGCGTAACGGTACCACGATTTAAGATTTTCCTGAATAATTCTTACATTATTTTATTGTTTGTTAATTTTACAACTTTACCATATTTTGCATGCACTGGAGAACATTTGGTGAAAATTTGATGAAAATCGGACTGATATTGAGCGCGCAGTAGCGATTTTCCGCAAAACGCCAAAAAAGGTGTCCTGTAACCTTAATGTTGATTCCCAAATATCCTGTGTGTTCAATCTGAGGGGTTGTTTGTACACTTTTCCTAATGGGTTGCGAGAATTTAGCATATCGAATAGTCTGTCAATTGTTCTGCAAAATATTACTGTTCCTTGGCTGTCTGTAAAGTCCGGTAGCTCCATTAGGTTATCTAGGAATTCAATTGCATCTGCTACCGATGAACTTAGTGTTTGTGCCGCCAGGTTAACCTTCATTTTATGTTTCTCAAATTGCAGGTGTTTTGGGGACAACTTGTTGGCCATTTTCAACCCATGTTCCTCCTGGATTAAGCACAAATTTTTGAAGAATCTCCATCTGACCTTACCATCATTGTCGGTGAATGAATGAATGAAGTGTTCCTAGTGCATTTCTTGCCAGTTTCAACATGTGGCATGGATCCAATATGACGTATACGTGGTAATCTTCTGTTGGATGCTTGAACTTTGTAACCATGTCCTTGTACGTTGTTCCAAATTTACAGCCAAGAAGACTGAAGGTGCTGAGATTTACTGATGTTCCATCTGCAGTGATAGACCATACCCGTAGACCATACCCATACACTGGGACATTTCCAGTGTGTTCTGGCTCCAACCAAAAGAAAGACTAGTGCTTCAGATGCTAATGTCTCTGGATCTTCAGGGTTTACTGTGCCATAGTTTATGAATCCATCATATCTATCATTCTTCTTGTTCCACACCGTCTCCTTTCGAATTGACATGGCACCCATAATGAGGTAATTTGTCTGGACATTGTTTGACTTCATCTGACAGTGCCTTGAATGCCTCTTTCGGGAACCCAGGTTCACAATCTACTGAGCTTGCCCACTTCCGAATCAAAGAAGGATTGGTTAAGGGCAAAATTGAAGGTACATATTGATATGCTTTTGGAGAATAAAAGTATAAGGTTAATGCGAATTCTTTGATATCATCAGTATAGCGGCGGCCACATGGCAAACTCTGTGGAATTTTTTTGGACATTTTGGAAAATGGACAATTGAATTTTGTCGAATGATGGATGTAACTTATCTGCCACATCTGATTTTATGATGAGCTCTTCTTGCAGTTTGTCAATAAGTTCTGCCATGTTCCCTATCTTCTTCTTACACCTTCGCAATTGCTGCTGTAAGTTTTTAATTTTATGTTTTAATTGTTTTTTAGAAATTTCTTCATCTTGACATGAATTACCATGGATTTCCTGAAGTGGTGTCTGCTTGCTGTATTAGCTTTTGCCGTTTTCCATAGCAGTGATCATGATATATTGTTGCCAACAGATGTTCCACGAGGGGCGTGTGCCCAAAAGTTGAATAAGATTTTTACAAGTACAGGAAAGTCCGAAAGTGATAGTTAGAGCTATTTACAAAGGTTTTAAGAGATATAGAATATTAAAATAGTAACATATTAATGAGTATTAAAATAGTAACATATTAATGTCTAATGAGAAAGTTGGCAGACTATTTACAGGCACATTATTTACAATACTTATTATTCATAAATGTGAGCAGCAATTTTATTTCGAAAGGAAGAAAGTGATTTGCTTTCCCTAATTTCTTTTGGAATAGAATTCCAAAGTTTAGCTCCGTTGTACAAACTATTTTTCATGTTATTGGAACGAGGTTTTGGTAAACAAAGACCAGTTGAAATGTCCCGAAGGTGATAGTTTGTTTTCTCACATTTACCACATACATATATACATCAACTTTATTTAAACACGGAGAATCATTAGTATAATTATTTACAAAAATATTAAAATATTGTAAAAAGGAGCAAAAGAAATATAGATACTGTTCTACCTGATTGCCGTGTGGGAGTCAGATCGATTTACACTGGCACCCACTTACCCAGCGGCGATACTTACATCGAATGCTGACCATATTCAAATTGAAAAATAACCTGATAGACTATGACTGGGACCTACGTAAAGCCAACCACCTGCATAACACGAGACAAAGAGATCACATTCATCTCAGCAAACCTAGTACCAATTGGGGAAAGCAGAAACTTCTATACCAAGCTTGTAAGGAGTATAATGATTTGAACAAATACATTATATCAATTAACCATCTAGCTAGTTTTCATACTGCACTTCTTAAATCTCCATAGTATAATCGAACGCATTTTGTAAATAGCTCTTCTTTGTAATATATAATTATCTTAGTTCTATATTTTAAAATGTTTCTTGTTTATATATATACATCGCATATAAACTGCATGCATATTATTATTGTATAATCTTTTGTATTTGTATAGTTTTCTTAGGGACCTTCTGAAAAACACAACTTGTGATGTTGGTTTTCCTGAATAAATACTATTATCAATCAATCAATCAATCAATGCCTTGCACAAGCAAGTTTGATGGTGGGTTCAGCTAATCCTCGTATGCCTTGCACAAGCAAGTTTGATGGTTGGTTCAGCTAGTCCTCGTGCACCGAATGATAAATACTCTACCCAAAGGTAGAGTTTGACGGGCTCTTGAGGTACACGGCTGTTGTCTCTTTCTCGACTCAGAGTCGTGCAGCGTTTTCTAGTCGAAAAGGAGATGTGGGGTTTGAGTTTTGTTACAAATTCAAGGTATCTAACTCCATAGTGACCTTGCATTTTTAATTAGGCATTCAATTCTATTCATCAACCCCGCTTTTCCCTGTGGAGATATCAAATCCCTCCCCTTGCTTTTAGATTCTTACCCAAACAAAACCCTGTTGAGAACAATAGATATCCGCACAAATATGAACTAATTGTTAAATAGTATTAAACATGAGGATTGCCTTTTGCTTTAATCGCTTAGTGGACAATGATTCCCAATTGAGTTCTTCAAGAGAACTTGATGAAATATCATAAGATGAACGGGTATAATAACACGGGTGGCCCTATTCTGTAATTTTTCGCTTTGCTTTTTACCTAGGCAATCTCAAACAGGGGCACAATAGGAAAAATAGGGCTCCACCAAACATTGGTAAACTCGAATTACAGTTTCCCTGGTAATAAAATCTCTCGTTCGTTTGAGAGCGCCGATACCCGAAGAGACTTTTCATGATATTATCAACATGATATTTCCAAGTCAAGTTCTCTCATCAGTTGTTAAACCCAATGATTTAGACTTCAAAACTGTATTAATCTGTTTGTCATTAATATTTAAACTTAACTTATTTGCCTCTAGCCATGTGTTTAAATTGGCTATTTCAGCATTCATAAGATTTTCTAGCTCAGAAAGATTATTGATAGCCGATGTTCGTATCATCAGCATACATTCTAGGTAAACCCTTGTTCAAGCAGTTAGGCAAGTCATTGATATAGATCAAATTCGATATTATCTCCGATACAATAAGTGTGCTGTCATCCGCAAATAGGTATAAATTTCCCTTCAATATATTGTCCGCTAGGTCGTTTATATAGATAGAGAATAGTCTTGGACCCAACAAGCATCTCTGAGGTACGCCAATGTTGTAACGCCTAGTCTTGGACCCAACAAGCATCTCTGAGGTGTAATTATATTCTTGAGCTAGACTGAGATCCGTCTAACTCGACGTATTGCGATCTATTTTCCAAATAATCACTTAAAATATCCAACATTTGACCAGCTATACCAACGCCTTCTATAGCTGCAATGCTACACGCTGCGATTTGTCGTGTATACGATTTGTATTCTGGCGTATGAAATTTACTGCTGACGCCACAATTCCTCTTCATTCAAATTATTATGGCGAAATTTAAAATGCAACCGCTTTACGCGTGCTTATTCGATTACATACGCCAGAATGCGAATCGTACACGACAAATCGCAGCGTGTCAACGTACCTTAATCCGGTATAATCAAAAGGGAATGTTTTTTCAATCGATTTTCACCTCTGTGTTTACACGACCTACTATTAATAATTGGGAATAGATGAAGTGCACGATTGATCCAATTTATTCCACATAGTCATAGATATAAAATATTAGATCTTTTGTTACATTTATAATAATATTACATATACACAGAAAATACAAAGTGTAAAAAATGTATTGAAATTAGTTGCCATTTCTAGAAGCCAAACGATCCTAAAAATAAAGGCAACCAATAAGTGTACCATACCTTGAAAATTATGAACAATCGTGGTACAGAAAATTGCACAAGTTGACTAAACAAACCACGAAATAATTTGTTTGCCCAGTGCAGCTTTCGAATTATGGTTTCAATGAGAATTCGCAATTTTGGTTTTGTCGTTGGCAAGACGTTTTGTAAAATTATGTGGTATTGTAATGCCTATGAATACTAACTTTCTTACCTTCTCATTGTACTATTTCGTGACAATAGAATAGGCACAACCTCCAAGTGTGTGTATGTGTGTCTGGGGGGGGAGATGGTGTACCGATTAAAACCTTATTCGCAGCTGAGAATAACCGATCACCCTGTCCGATCACCTGATCACCCTTATTCGCAGCTGAGAGCTGAGCTGCACTGCGAAGAACGCAGCTCAACCTGATCGAGCCAAAGGCTTTCTAAGGGGCGTCTCTCTGGCAGCCACCTGATGACTCATGTCTGATCACGGAGAACAGCTACGATGGAAGGGTCAGTTAGGAGCTAATCCCAACCCACCCTGTCAACATTTCCTGTGGTAGGAAACCGGACTACCCGAAAAAACCCACGACTTTCGGTAGAGCGTTGACCGACTCTTCACTAAATGCCATGACTCCGTAGCGATCTGAGGTTAAAGGCGCTTGCCCTGACGACTGCGTCATCGAGAAAAAGTACAATAAAGTCGAACACGTTGGCTATTTTAAACGTAAACGAAGATATTTAGATAATTTCACTCGTTTATCCTGGCTATTTTGATGTGAAATTTGACCTATATAGTCAATCTTTCGTCTAAATTTATCCTCAGTATATCTCAGGAAGGGTTTTAGATTCAGTTGCGATGTAGACTTGCGAAACTTCACCTTAGCTTGTAGTCCAAATACGGTATTCACAAACTTAAGGTGGCTCCCTACAGTTGAAACTAGAACAGTAGAAGTGAAAACACGATTGTAAAATGGAAACACGATAGTTCTAAAAGTGGAAACACTCGCGTCGCGCGCGTGGAATCTTTAATTTGTGGATCGGTAAAAAAATTTGAAAGTATGTTCAAATTGAAAGTATGTTCATCTTGAGTAAGAAATTAGTCACGTGCATACGTCGTTATTGACAGACCATTGTTATGCAAACTATATAAAGATTTTTATATAAAGATTTTTATATAAAGATTTGACTTATTAAGCAAACGTTTTTGAAGCCATTTAAAAAACTCGCAGGTCGTGTTTTATTAGGTCTAAAGCCACTCGCGCTGCGCGCTCGTGGCTTTAAACCTAATAAAACACTCCTGCTCGTTTTTTAAATAGTATACTTTTCAAACTTTATGTCAAGGAAGAAAACTCAAGTTTTTCCGTCTAATTGTAAATTTTTGAAATTCAAACTGTACGTATGTTGTTTCCCAGTTTCTACGCTATCTTTTAGTGTGTTTTTATACGTGTTTACGTTCAATATTGTGTCAATAACGTTCTTTTAAAATTGATATTTTTAATATATTAAATCAATAAATGTATTTTTAAACAAACTCCTGTCATTCGACTTAAATTACTACATTTACATGTAGTGTTTTATCTTTTCAAACAAGTGAATGTAAAACTAAAGTCATTAGACCAAATTTTGGCAAAGATGAAAAGTCAAACTCGCAGTTTTTAAAGATGTTTTGAAAAGTTTTCCCGGCGTGGCAGGCGTGCATGCTCAAGAAACACTGAACTATAATATTACAAATAATTTGTATTATATAATACCTTATTGAATTCTGATCGTTTAATTGGCTGTTTATGGTCACGTGATATTGAATAGAAAATTCCATTTCCCAAGAGTGCAATGGAATACGTTCCATTGCACTCTTGCGAGTGCAATTGTACTATACGTTTTATTCCATTGCACTCTTTGTGTTTTCGCTAAATCGCATCCGTCAAAATGCTTCTCGTACGGTGATCGCAGTATATTTTAACCCGATATTCGAAACTCAGTAAATGGGATTTAATGCAAATACGACTCGTCAAAATGGCGGGAGCTTACAGTAAACCTTTTAATATTAGTCTATTCTGGTATTATATAAAACAAATAATGAATGTTTTTATTCGTGCAATGGTAAGAATATTTTCATTCGGTGAAAGATGGAATGTTCCATTCAACTCGGCTGTCGCCTCGTTGAATGGAACATTCCATCTTTCACCTCATGAAAATATTCTTACCATTGCACTCATAAACATTCATTATTTGTATAATATAATATAGCTCAGCGTCAAAAAGTGAGCTTGTAAAGTTGAAACAAAATCACGTCAGCAAAAATTTCATCTCGCCACACAAGCTTTGAAATGCAGTAAAACTTATTTTTCCTTCGGTCAATTTTTCTGAAATTTTGTTTTTTAAAAGTAGTAGTCATTTAGTTCAATATACTCAAAAATTCTATAAAGCAGTTTTTGTGGAACAAATTTTGTGTGATATCTCAAAAGTTCAATTTGTAACTCCACCTAATTTTTTTATATAATCTCCCATTAGATATTCCCTTTACACCTACCAAATTTTAGAAACTTTGACCGAAGGAAATTTTAATAAATTCATTTTTAGTGTAAAATTGAATGTCTGTCGCTTGGGTCACATTGTTACCATAGCAACACATAATTTGATTCTTTCGAACTAATGTACTTCAAGTATAAAGATTGCACAAGCGTTTATACTTTCAAAAAATTCTCTATTTTGCATAAATAGCAAATAATTTCGCGTCGTTGTGAAGACCTTATTTTTCGCTGCCATTCTCAACAACTGTAGGGAGCCACCACCTTAAATTGAAAAAGTTAATGAATATTTCAAAATTGCATGTTGACATCACATGAAAAACCATCATTCAGAAGGTTGCGCTGTATCTTTAAGAACATTAGAACAAAAATATATGCTTTAAACAACAAACCTCAAGTTGCTTTCTTGAAGTACCAATAGTGTCTCGTGTTTCTGATACTAAATTGTTAAAATGTAGAAATTAAAATTCGTCCCACCAAAAATTGTATAGCAGTTTTCTTAACCAATGTTGTGTGTGTTTAAAATAAAGTTTGTTCACCAAATGGACCATTGAAGTCATGCATCAGTTGTTTTAAATATCGTTAGACTATTTGCAGTCGACCTTAAAATGAGCTTGGAACGAACCGCTACTCAGAATGTTGAATAACAAACTCCACATGCGTTTCATTTAACCAATATTTTAACAGGAACATCCAGTTTAGCCAATGCTAGTTTAATTTAAATGAAGTCCTGTAAAAGTAACACGGCGTCCTGTAAAATGTTTGCTATGGGTCATATAGGCAGCGTAACAGGGAGGGCTATAACAGTAGAAGTAAGGAAGCTATGCCCCCAAAAGTAGATGTAAGGGGGCTAAGCCTCCCAGAAAAAAATCGGAGTGGGAGAACGTAATAAGATGGTGACGGATTCTTCGCTGCTTTAAGCCTTCAATGCAGAATGAACAAAACAACATAGTTCCTGCCTGTCAAATCTTCCCCAGATCGCAGGAAATGTCATTTCCGTAACTCAAGATTTCAAAACTTTCTGGGCAGCATGTCCCCGGCCCCCTCTAGACAGCTTGTCTAGCCCGCCCAACAAAACCAATATTCCGCCTATATGATTACGTTAACACTGCAACTTACATCGGGCGAAGAGAGAGCGTTCAACTTCTTTCCTCATGCGACTGGACGACTGAAAAATAAAGAAAAATTCCAGTTAGTATTATAATAATAATAATAATAATAATAATAATAATAATAAATGTATTACTTATATAGCGATATTTACAACAATTGATCAAAAGCGCTTCACAGAGTTAAGAATAGATACAATATTTACATTATTGATTATTTACATTGTTACTGATGAATTTATTAAATATTAACATTCTTAAAATTCAATATTCATATCTTATAAAAAGTCAGTAAAAACGTTCCTAAAAAGATGAGTTTTAATTGATTTCTTGAACAAGTCAATAGATGTAAGTGAACGTATACCAAGTGGAAGACTGTTCCAAAGATGAGGTGCAGCCGCGTGAAAGGATCGGGCACCCAAGGTGGTAAGCATCCTGCCTGCTGGAGGTTCTAGTAGAGTGCCATTGTTAGATCTTAAGTTGAAGGACGACTTCGATTTGACATTAATGAGATCCTTAATATAAGATGGTGCTAGATCGTGTATAGCTTCAAAAGCAAATAGTAACACCTTGAATTGTATTCTTGCATGTACCGGAAGCCAGTGTAGTTCATACAGTACGGGCGTAATATGAGAATATTTTGGAACGTCCATTACTAATCTTGCAGCGGCATTCTGAACACGCTGTAGTTTAGATATTTGCTTTCCAGGGAGACCGTAGAATAAGCTGTTACAGTAGTCGAGCCTGCTGGTGATGAAAGCATGTACTAGGATCAGTAAGTTGTCTCTTGATAGATATTTCTTAATTCGTCTGATATTATGCAGGTGGAAAAAACAGGCTTTACATACTTTTGTGATATGAGTCGTCATGTTTAAGTTCGAGTCCA